GATAATTATTTTTAGACCAAGGTTCACAATGCAGTGAAGATATAGGATCTTGGTCCATGGTATAATTTATTGTTGCGGAACTATCTAAAGTTATACAATTTGACCAAATTTAACTTGCTTCTCATATCATCGCTGACATGACATGAGTACATGACATTCATCTTATTAAAAAATATATATATATTTTTAAAAAATTATTAAAAAAAACCCACCCCTCCTCATCTGGGTCACTATATCGTGCACCACGGTGCATAATCGATTATGCACCGCGCGTCAGACACTATAGTTTGTCTAAACCAACACTATCTCACGTATTATTTTATATTATCAAATGAAACTACAGTTATATCAAAATGATACTGTAGTTGTGGTGAAATGAAACTACAATATATATAAAATGAAATTGAATAACATTTCACATATTTGAGTGTATATTGTACAATGAAACTGTAATTATATTCAAATAATCATGTAATTGTGTTTTAATGAAATTATAGTGTATATAAAATAAAATTAAATAACATTTTCACATATTTGAGTGTATAAATGTTGAATGAAATTGTAGTTATATCGAAATGAAACTGTAGTTGTGTTGAACTGAAACTGTAGTGTATACAAAATGAAACTGGAGAATAGAGTTATTTTTTTTGAAGATTCTGTTTCTTTTCATTAAAAAAAAAAACGACGTCGTTTTGACAGTGTCGCTTTAGACACACTGTAATGTCTGACGTGCGGTGCATAATCGATTATATGCGCCGCGGTGCACGATATAATTTGCCTCCTCATCTTCGTCTCCCGACCGGAACAAAGATGGAGAACGGGAAAGGGGTGTATTTTTCTTTTAAAAAAAATATTATTTTATTTAAAATTATTAAAATAAATTTTAAAATAATAAGTTTTAATAGGATAACAACTAAGTCATCAATGACTAGTGGAACAAGACTCTACCATAGACCCCATGAATTGCCTCAAGCTCAAACCATCAATGTTTGGGGCGATAATTGAATTCCCACCATGCAATTGAAAGTAGATTTATTTTATTTTATTTTATTTTTCTTGACAACTAGAACTTCACTAAAATAGATCATAAAGACCTCCATTTCATACTATCAGTTATGAAGACCTCCATTTCATATGATCAGTTATAAATAAAGCGTCCATTGCAAGCAAATGAGCAACTCTATTCGCATACCGTTTAACAAACACAAAGTTAATATTATAAAAAATTTTAGTTAGGACTCTAATATCTTCCAAAATAAGATGAAAGGAAGTACACTAGTCACTGTTCCTATTTCCTTCAATAACCAACAGGATATCTGACTCAATCTGTTCTTCTTCCGCCCCAAAACTCTTTAGCAATTTAAGTGCCTCCCAAACACCCATAGCCTTACCAGTTTAGCATGATAGAAGCTTGACAAGTCCTTCTCATCCCATAGACCAATACCTTAATTGGGACAAAAATGACTATTCTGAATAGTTAATTCTATATTCACAAAATAACTAGTATTCTATTCTTGATTTATTTTACGAACCAAACACCCAGTAAATTGATAATAGATCAGGTTTAATTTGTGTAAAATTTTGATTTTTATTTAGGGTCAAACATGTTTTAATTAAACCATTCTTGAGCCAAACAACTCCTAAATATATAAAAAAAATAAAATATTTAGAGATTATATACCTTTGAATTATGAGCCTAAAAATACAATTTAGTCATCAATAAAATTAAACGTGTTGAATTGGGTATTTGGGTGTAAGGGTGACCTTGTTGCCAAAGTCATAACACTGAAGAGTTGGGGCAGCATTGCTATAAATTTGTCAGTTTTTGTCTAATTTTTTGACTTTAAAAAAATTGATAATTTAAAATTTTTTAGTTACGGTTTTGGATAGTATGACAGCGGCAAATTATATTATGCAACTCGATTATACACCGCGCGTCTTCTTTTGTTTTTTTAAATGAAAATTAACAGTGTTTATTTCCGCCGTTTCGCACCCTTTTGCAAAAAGTAACTCTGTTATTCAGTGTCATTTTGTATACACTGCAGTTTCAGTTGAACACAACTACAGTTTCATTTCGATATAATTATCGTTTCATTCGATATTTATAGACTCAAATATGTGAAAATGTTATTTAATTTTATTTTATATACACTATAGTTTTATTAAAACACAACTACATGATCATTTTGATATAATTACAGCTTCATTGTACAATATACACTCAAATATGTGAAATGTTATTCAGTTTTAGTTTATATACACTGCAGTTTCATTTCACTATAACTACAGTATCATTTTGATATAACTGCAGTGTCAGTTTGGATATACTGTAGTGTCAGTTGGTGTTTAATACACCAAACAAACGGACTCCGTTAACTCTAACGGCGGGCCGTTTCTTTACTTAAATCGATTATGCATAATCGATTATGAAACGGCGCCGTATATGGGCCGCGGTGCATAATCGATTATGCACCGCGGTCTATAATATAACAACTGTATGACAGCATCCACATTCATTGTTTTTTCTGCTTTCACCGTTTCTCCTCCATCCTCATCGTTACCGATCGTTACTTCTTTACTTTCACATTGTTATTTAGTTTAATTTTATTTGCAGTTTATGTGTTTTCCCTCTTGTTGTTTTGACGAGTTTCTTTCTCTTATTTACTTGGCGAGTTCTATTTCATAAAGCGTGAAACGATAAAATTGGTTATGGCGTGTGTGAATTTCATTGTGGGTGACAAACATGACAATGAAAAAGAGACCCCTCTGAACTATGATATGCACTTTAGTTTGATGAAGATATTGTGGAAGAATGGAAATAGATACTCAAGTGGTGTGCAGACTATTCAACCAGTGTCAGTCTTGGGTACGTTTGGCCTAATCATTAAAGAAGCTTTAAATTCCTCCAAAGAATTCAGCTTCAAATTTGTGAAACAGTCTGCGAATCAAGTTTTCTGTAGCATTTCTAGGGAAGTTGTTTCTATGTCTGATTATAAGGAATATTTGACCATTTCATCGATAAACGTTTCACCATATAATTAATGAATTAGCTCATTTATTTTCAAAAAAAAAAAATTATTTTTTGATAACTTTTTTTTAGTAGTAAAAAATTTTTTTATGGTCAATTCAAACTTTGAAAATTTTAAAGAATCTTGATTATGAGTTTTTATTTTTTTTTATTTTTTTATTTTAAATATTAATGGATTAATAGTTTTTTTTTGGGGGGGGGGGGGGGGGAGCGGGGGAGGGGGGGTTCCAATACGTAACCATGGTAACCATTTAATATGCTTGTTTGGAGAATATTAATGTATGGGGAAAAAGGTCAAATAGACCCTTAACTTTATCAATAACTAATATGTTATTGGTAAAATTAGTACTGTTGATCGTCGTTGGTCACTGTTCACCTCATTACTATTATTATTATTATTATTATTATTATTATTATTATTATTATTATTATTATTATTATTCTTCTTCTTCTTCTTCTTCTTCTTCTTCTTCTTCTTCTTCTTCTTCTTCTTCTTCTTCTTCTTCTTGTTGTTGTTATATTTTCGTCGTTGTTGTTGTTATTTATTTATTTTCTCTTTGACATCAACGGCAAGCACGCACGCGGTGGAGATCATCGAGAGGGAAAAATCCACGTGGAAAATATTATAATTTTGATGAAAAAAGTAATTCTCTTACATCAAAATATAAAAGTATTATATTTGTTCTTAAAAGTATTACGTTTTACCAAGTAACAAACATTTTATTCCTGATTTAGAATTACATTTGCATATTGACCTAATCCAATCCGATCCTTCTCATGAATAAGAATTTGTGATCGACGGTCTCATACAAGTGTGACTTACAAGCAATAATAATGAAGAAAAAATAATATTATTATTTAGAATTTTTAGAGGAAGATTGTAAAGTTTAGAAGAGAGAAAAAATTGATAGAGTTTAGGTATGAAGAAAAAATAATTTATTGAATTTAGGTATAAGGTTTATATAGTTTAAATAGGAATAAAAAAATAATTAGTTTAAATAGAGAGAGAAAACATTGTTGGTAGAAAGAAAATTTTGAAATTTTAGAATTAAGAGTTTGATTTCAACTATTTATATTTGAGAAGAAAAAGTCTACAAAAGTCCTAAAATTAAAAGTCTACAAAAAGTTCATAACTTTTCGAATAGCTCATGACTTTTAAAGACTTTTTAAAAGTCTTAATTGAATAACACTTGATTTTTAAAAACCCTTTAAAAATCTTAATTAAATACCGCCTAATTTTTAAAGACTTCTTAAAATTTTGAATTGAATGCCTCCAAACTTTGCTTAAGTATAGAAAAAAAAAAATTACAATGAACTCCTTGAAGCTCTAAAAAAGAGGCCTAGTAAGTTGATAGGTTTTGCCAATTAGAAAAAGTATGATCAGAATAGGACTCGATCAATTAGAAGGATTTTTTTTTTTTTTTTTTGTGAACGATCAATTTAGAAGGAATAGCTAAACGTAATAGAAGACCTGTTGAGTTAGAAAATGTTTCAAATTATAAAAACAGTTTAACCCTAAAATTGATCGAATAAGAGAGGTATAGAAAGGTCATATATAAATCATAAAACTTAAATCAATTTAGACTTTAGAATAACACACTTTTTTTTAATTTCTATTTCAATCAAATAGAGACATGTAAAAAAAGTTGTATTTATTATTTCCAAAAAAAAAAAAAAAAAAAAAAAACCTGGCTTGTAACGTAGGAAGAAAACCCAGCCTTGCTCAAATATATAGCTAGTTGAAACCTTATAGGAATAAATTAAAAGAGGATTCAATTTAGAAGATATGTCTTAACAAATCAGAAGACTTAATTATTGAGTTCTAATCAAAAAAGTATTTGACCATAAAATTGACCACCAGAAAAGGTATTGACCCAATTTTTATTCAAATTTTCCCTCTTTTTTCAACAAATTAAAATTGAGACACGTATATATAAGTAGTTTTATTTTCACTCACTTTCTCTCTCTCTAACCGCCCAACCTCTCTCTCTTTCTTCTTCGTCTAGTTAGGTTAGGTTCCAGGAGATCACATGGACGTCGATCTCCTCCAGCAGCAGCTCATTGCACACATTCAAGCTCTGCAGCGTGAAGTAATGATATTCATCGTCGCATATAATTGTTTTTTGTTTTTTGCTTTTTTATGTCTTCCTTTTCTGATTTTTGAATTTGCTGGATCGGAGCTTTCTGTGTTTTTTCCTTGTTGTTCTGATCTGGATTTCAGGTTTTTGAGGCGAATTGAAGAATACTTGCGGCCGCACACGTACTGATTCTCATTTAATTTGTTGCAGGGCTTCGTTGATGACTATCTGCAGATGTGCTATGGGCTGAAGGAGACTTCTGGCTTAACATTTTTCCTGGAATTGATTGCTACCTTTCACACAGACTCTGCTGCTGCTATAGATGATATGACTGTAACTATGTATTAAGTTCAATTCAATTCTGGCCTAAAACTTATTTTTTTTTATCTCGAATAAACATATTAGGGATGTGTTAAAAAACACTAATATTTTGTTTTAATTGCATGTAGGGAATGCCCGATTCTTGACTATGATAAGATGCAAGGGCTTGCAATCAGTCTCAAGGGAAGTTCAGCATGGTAAGTACTTCAACACTTTACTATTTGTTTTCGATCTTACTGAACAAAAGCCAGATTGAGTTAATTAGAAGGTATAATTAATTGATAACATTAGCTGAAAGGTATTTGGTAAATTAACTGTAAGTTGATAGCTATTTGGTATAATTCTTATTTTTCTCAAAAAGTTAATTGAAAAAGTTGTTTTTGGTAGCTTTTTTAATTTTAACAATTTGGAGTTACAAAAAGCTAATTAACCAAACATTTATATTAATTTTTTAATCAAGTCAAACAATTAATAGTGGTCAAATAAGTCAAAATTGACTGATAGATTAACTATTTTACCAAACAGGACAATAATATGTAATTACTCAGTTCTAATCATAGAGATTAATTGTATGTATCTGCAGCATTGGGGCATGTCGGATAAGTGCTAGTTGCTCTGAGTTACTCCAGGCAGCTACAAAAAGATCTAAGACAGAGTATGTATGGGATCATTATCATTATTTAAAACTTATAGAATATGGAGTATTAAATATCCTAATATTATTCTTTTTTTCAAACAAATTCACTGCCCAAGTGCCCAGCAATAAAATTTTATAATTGAACTGTGTCATTAATTTCCGTTTTATATCATCAGCTGCAAACGGGCAGTGGAGATGATCAGCAGAGAAAAATCCGCTTGGGAAGTGAAGTTGGAAACTATTATGCAGGTGACATATATGAAGTTTTATTATTATACCGTTAATATTTTGTTATCTTACATTCTCTTGGATGCGTTATGTTCTTGCTTTCAGCTGGAGCGTAAAATCGTTGACAGACAGATGCAATGATTTACACATCGATCGATTTTTTAAAAGATTATAAAGTGGTACTTAAATTAGGGTTTAGATTTACAGTTTACACACTATAAATTAACTTTGGACAAGATTAATCGAGACATGACAATCACTTTCGATCACACCATACCACAAATCTTATTACAAGCAGCATGTCCTTTGGGTTGGAAGTCAATTCCGAGGTCAGCGGCTAAGGTTAGCTCTAGGCCTTTTACTTGTGCTTTGTTTATTTTATTCCTTAGTCCAATTGTAAATATTATTTAGGCATCAACTCGGCTCAATACATATATTTTTACCCAGTTTATAATGAATTTGGTCCTATAAAACCATCACATGTGTGGACAATTACTCTATGTTATATGTATTCCATTAGCATACACTCTCATTTACTTTTTAACCAAATTAGTCTATGACCAACATAATTGAATTTCATTTAAATTTTGTAGGCCTATTGAAATTTCAATAAATGACTTGCGTGTTTAATTTGTAGAGGTTCAAGCGATTCACTAAATCTCAAAAAATGTAAAATATAATGACAATTATTAAAAGTTACCTCACTTAAGATAATGATTACTTGATTAGTAATTTACTACAAATAACACTTTATTTTTCAAATATATTGACAAAAATTGTTGGGGCTCATACTTTGAGGCGAGTCTAATATCATACTATTGAAAGGTGACGCTAACTGCTATGTAATTACCATGTGCATAATGGACCTTCCATGTTCAAATTATGTATGCAATCAACATATAATGTATCTTTATGTACTTGGTACCGTTAACATATTATATACAAACAGTTAATATATTGTGTATCTTAAATTAGCATATTATGTACCTTCAATTTATTTATAGGTATATAATCGGTTAATTGAGGATACATAATAGGTAAGCTGAAGGTACATAATAATCTAACTATATCATTTTGAAACAAGATCCAAAATGCAAGGTGAATCTTAATCAACAATATAATTTTCAATATTTAAAATAAGGGTAACACTTGTGTGGGATCATCTCACAGGTTTCAATCTGTGAGACGGGTCGAATCTTTGATTAATTTTTCAGATCTTTGTGTTGGAAAAAATAGCTTAAAATGACATAAAATGGCATATTAAGTGGCTATTTTGTGATACAATTATCAGTGGGGTCCACGGGTCAAAGTGGATTCGGATTCTTCGTAGTAAGACAAAGAGATTGATATATTGTACGCTCAAAACGGATAATGGGTGAATGAGATATTGATTCTCAAAGTAGACCCATTTGAGTTGGGAAATGAAGGGAAATAGTGGACTTTGTCCCACATTGGTTTGGAAAGAAGATTTGCTCCCTTATATACAAGAGCTCTTTTCAAGCTTGTAGAATTGTATAACATAGAGGCTCTCTCGCGTGGGGGGAGGGGAGGGGGGGGGTGCAAATCAAAATCCAACTAGAAGAGATTGAAAAGGCTTGATTCAAGCCCGAGCTCGCGTGCGCCGGCACCTGCGGGCACGAATGTCGTCCGAGTTCGACCGAAACCGAGAGCACCTACTCTCGTGCTACAGAGAGGTTCGGCCGAGTTCGATCGAAACCGAGATCACGAGAGGTGCACTCTCGGGTTGCACCACAGCACGCACGAGAGATGTACTCTCGTGTTGCTGGTCCTTGTGCTTTCGTGTGAACCTGCACCCCAACGGTCTGAAACCCGTACCAACACAATTGGTTTTAATACCAATTTAATGGCCATGTTGAATGATATCACTCCAACATCCCTATATAAAGAGAGGTAGAGCAATAGCATTTTACACAGTAGAGAAACAAAGGAATTCCAGTAGCTTTATCCTCTCAAAACTCTGCTTCTACTCTCTTCTTTAGCCAATATGTGTTCCAGCTTTGCTTTGTTTACCGGGTTCTTTGTTTAGGTGCTTAAACAAAGAATCGTAGCACGTTTTATCCTGGGAAACCTAGGCTATAACGCTCCTAGCACTTGTGGGAGGTAGCAAATAAGGTTTTAAGGAAAAGAACTTTGTGTTCGAACTTGTGCTAAACCTATATCCAAACACTCCACCTTTTCCTTCCCAGTTTTCTATTTTTCCCATATAATAATAATTTTTCTGTAGAATTATTATTTTGGGATTTTCCACCTTATTACCCAACACTTTGACCTCATTAATCAAAGATTTGACTCATCTCATAGGTTGAAACTCGTGAGATAATCTCACACAAATTTTGCCTTAAAATAATATGGTGAGTTATATTTTAGGAGGACGGTCCAGGTCCAACCCCGTGACGAGTATAAATTTTAAAACCCATCCATCAACCAAAAGAATAAAAATAAAAAAAAAAAGTTTCACATAGAATAGATTACAATTGACAAAGATTTTGTGGTCAAACGGCAAAACTATGACTCTCCTAAATGGGAGGTCACAGGTTTGAATCTCCTATTTTGAGAAAGTATATATGAATAGATACTATATTGTAACAGAGTTAATAGTATAAAAAAAAAAGATTAAATTACAATTTTCATCCCTAAACATTATAAAATAGTGAGACATCCGACCTTCCATTTACATTATTTTCTTATTTACATACACAAACAATTACTTTGTGCATGTAATATATATACAATATACTCCATTAGAATGAAGTTGGAGGTTCAATCCCCACCCATGTGAATGGAGCAAACTATTTGGCTAGTCCCCTACCATTTAGTGTGCTGACAGTAGAGAAGGGAGATTAGTCTTCTGGCTATCGGCTGGAGGGATACCTTTGGGCAACAAAAAAAATAAAATATAATCCATTAGAATAGACTATCATTTACTTTCTAAGCGAATTAGTCTATGACCACCATACTAACTACATTGTGGTGTGATGACATCTCAGTTATCATTTCAATTGGATTGGATGGTCATAGGTTCGAATTTCGATTTGGGGCTTAGATTCTTTGGACTGAAAACAAATATTATTTTGTAAAAACTCATGAGTATTTCAAAAAAGTCTATGACCCTCCTCAGTGAATTTCAATTAAATTTTTGTGGGCTTATTAAAATTTCAATAAATGACTCTACGTGTTTAATTTTTAGGGATTCAATCGATTCAGTAATATCCCAAATAATGCAAAATATGAAAATAACTATTACAAGTTACATTATTTAAAATAGGGAAAATGGCAATTTTTCCCCCTGAGTTATATACTTATAGCATTTTTTTCCTCTGAATTATTGAAGTGGCTATTTCCCTCCTTGAAATGTTAAATGGACATATTTACCCTTAAAATAAATATTTCATTTATTTTTTTTCAACAAATTATGACCATAATTTGGTTCAAACCAAACAAACACTATAGCAACCAAACCGAAATATTCCAATTACAATTTAGAATCGAAATCCGATATTTAGAGTTTATTAAAATCATGATCCGGAACGGACGGTTTATATTCCGAACTGAAAAAATAAAATACATTTATTGTTGAATTTAGACTATTTTAAAATAAAAAATAAAATTTTAAAATAAAGAAGCTTCAAAATTGCGAATCGGATCCGGAATCGTGTGTTCACGGTTCAAGATTCAATTTTTTTGATACATAATTTTAATAAATTGACATTTAAATATTGGGTTCTAGATCTGAATCAAAATCGGAAACTATTAATTCGATTGCTTTAGTATCCGGTTCAATTCAAATCGAACCGTGGTCATCCCTACATATATGCAATAATTTGTTGGAGAAGTAAAATAAATAAACTGTTTACTTTAAGGGTATAAATGTCAATTTAATATATCAAGGGGAAAAAGCACCACTTTTAGAATAATTGAGGGGACTAATGTGCTTACATAAATAATTGAGGGGGAAAAGTGCTATAAGTATATAACTCAAGGGTAAAAAGTGTCATTTTCCCTTTAAAATAATGATTAGTGACTTAGTACAAATAACATTTTTTTTCCTTTCAAAGAAAAAAACATTTTTTTCCAAATATATTGACAGAAGTATTGGGGTAAATGCTTGAAGGAGTGAGTCCATCATCATATATATTATTGAAATATGACAATAACTGCTATACAAGTATAAGAAAATAAAACTACACATTTGCTCCTAGTTATAATTCTTTTGTAGTGGTAAACACTTCGAGGTTTTATTAAAAAAAAAAAATTAAATTGTGTCATTTTTTTGGGTACATCTGAGGGACCCCAAGGTCCCACGTTAATAGATTCTTCTAGTGGCAATACCTTTGGCATCCTTTTCCAACAAGACCTTTATTCCCTCCGAGGTTGCTCCAGAATCATCGTACCTCATTCTGTATATTGCTCAAGATTTGCCAAATAATCAGCACATTGATTCCCTTTCCGGAAAACATGGACGAGCTCAATGTTTGGAATCTGATTCATGATGGTTCTGCAGTGCCAATGAACCTCCTTCCATCCATGTTATATACCTTGAAATCAATATAAGTTAATAAGCCATAGAACCATAGATTAAAGCTGAGACATGCTACTACTACCTGCTACATAAAACAAATGCTTGTAATCTTTACATAATTTTCAAATCCCAAAAATTATAGTTGGACAAATGAACAATAAAGATGAAGCATGCTGAGCCTTATACCACTTATAGGAAGGCAAGTTGCATGACAATGATGGACAGATTACAGATTACAAATTACAGCCTGCATGGTGATAAATTTATACCTCAATTTTCCTCTCAAGTTTATTGAGAACACAGTTTCTTTCCATATACACAATGGCTTGAGGGTTTAAATCATCATTAGCATATACATATTTGACCTTCTTGCCACCTGATATTGCAAGTGTCGTCGATCTCAACTTCCTTAATGTCCACCAAATTCCACATATTAACTGTGAGACAGCGACGACAACAACTATCACACAACTGCCAATTTACTGCCTCCTGTTGTGGAAATGGGTGGATCAAACTTGACAAAACGACTTAAATGACGGATAGACAGTCCCAATTAATCCCCATAATCAAAAGATAATTTTGTGTCAGGCACATATCCTGCATCTAATAATTGGGCAGTCAGTCCAATCAAAAGTTTTTTCATGCTAACTTCACCAAGAAGCATATTGTAGCTCGAAGAAAAACAATATATCTTGTTCTGCAATTCTGTCCAACTACATCCTGTTTCCTTCTTCAGCTCTTTCTGTTTCATCATTTTCCTTATCTGGGCTGCTTCATCCCACATATTCAACCTAGCATAAATATTAGACAATGTAACATGAGCTGAAGTATCATTCGGATCAATACTTAAAATCTCCTCTGCGGCATATTTTCCCAGAACAAAATCTTTATTTATATTGCAGCCTGACAAAAGACAACGCCAAACCACCTTATCTGGTTTTTCAGGAAAGCTCCTGATAAAGTCGTAAGCTTTTTTAGTCTGCCCTTTACGAGCAAATAGATTGACCATACAAGCTAAGTGATTTGTTCTTGGAGTGATCCCATAGTTATTTTTCATGCTATTGAAGTGGTTTAATCCCTCCTCTAAAAGTCCTCCATGTCCACAGGCGGATAATACTCCGACGAATGTTATATCATTAGGTTTAACTCCATTTTCTTGCATCATACTGTAAATCTCCAAAGCTTCTTTCCCAAATCCATGTTGTGCATAACCTATAAGCATAGTATTCCAAGAAACCAAGTTCTTACAAGGTAGGATATCAAAAACTTTTCGTGCATCGCCCAAACGTCCACATTTAGCATACATATCAATTAGGGTACTTCCAACAACCACATTGGAATCAAAACCAGGCTTCATAATGCGGCAATGAACTTGCTTGCCCCATTCAATAGCCGGCAAATCCCCACAGATGCTCAAAATGCAAGAGTATGTGTGAAGATTAGGTTCGAGCCCCTCAAACAACATCTCTTGGAGAAGTTTGATAGCTTGTTCATAATGACCGGACCGTATATATCCAGCTATTAGCGCATTCCAGGTAACAATGTCATATTCAGTCATTTCTTGAAAAATTTTAAATGACTCATCAAGCAGATTGCTCTTTGAGTAAAAGTCCACTAGTGCGTTGCAAACAAAGGTAAACGAATTGAATCCCAGTTTTATGATAAAAGAGTGGAGCTGCATTCCAACTTGAAATTCCTTTGTATCAGTAAAAGCTCCTAGGACAGATGCATATGTTCTTTCACTTGGTTTCAAGCCTGAAGAAAGCAACTTGCAGAAAAGATTAACAGCCTCTCTCCCCTTCCCTTGCTGCACACAACCTCCAATCAAGGCAGTCCAAGCATGCAACTCGGGAGCACTTGCCATGTTAAACGTGTTATATGCCAAGCCAAGTTGACCACACTTTACGTAAAAGTTAACCAACCCAGTGACCACGTACTGATCCATTTTGACACCACATTTCACAATTAGACAATGAATTCCCATTCCAAATCCCAGACACTCCACTGAAGCACAAGCACCCAGCGCAATCCCACATAAGAATTCATTAACCAACACTCCAGCTCTCAAAGACCTCAAGAAAATCCTGAGCCCTTCATCGTACTCCCCACACTGACAATGACATGAAAGAAGCGAAGCCCAAGTAACTGTATTTGGCTCCAACATAGCATCAAACACAAGCTGAGCTGACTTCAACAACCCACATTTCCCATAAAAGTTAACCAAGCAGTTGCTGACAAAGTTATTTAATGTCTCCTCAGCTCTGAATATCCTCCCATGTATCTCTTTCCCAGTTCTTGCAGCCCCTAAGCAACTACAAGCAGATAACGCTCCCACATATGTATAATGATTTGGAGTAAACCCATCCTCCAGAACCATTGACCTGAAGCTCCCTAAAGCTTTTTCAGATAGACCCATATGAGAATAAGAGGAAATTAACGTTGTCCAGGTGATTACATTCCGTTTGGGCATTTCGTCGAAGAGTTTCTGGGCACATTCAATTTCATGGAATGTTACGTACATGGAGAGTAAGTGATTGTTTGTATATACATCCGATTTGGATCCATATTTGATGAGTTGTGCATGGGCTGCTTTTCCACTAAGAATAGACTTGTTTGTTGTGCATGACCGAATAATCTGAGACAAAGACATCTGGCGAAAGCAGCCGGATGTAGACACCAGACGAAGTGTTAGTTGTATTGGTATTTTTTCCCCAAATTGCTTGAAGTGTGAAGGCAGATTTAATCTTTAATAAAAATTAGTATTACTCTTTAATTTTGAAATACAAGCAGATAGTGCTCCCACATTTGTATAAGGTTTGGAGTAAACCCATCCTCCAGAATCATTGATCTGAAGAAAGCAACTGGCAATCTCTAGTCTCCACCGACTCGCCGTCTGCCAGAGAGGCCTTCGTCACTCGTCAAGAACTTCGTGCCTCCAGTCAATTAAGCAAACAGCGAACCAAAGGGAAGGAGGCAAGAGGCCAACAGCCAACTCTTCATCTCATTCACGTCAGCACTATGTTTTGTTCAAATAAACTAGAATTAGAGTTGTCAAAGCAGGCTGGGGCGGGCTAAAAAACCCGCCAATAACACATGCCTAAGGGAGGCCAACCCGCTCAACCTTAGGCCCTCGGGGTTAGGCGAGGACCGCCAATGGGCAAGCTGAAATCCTCAAAATAAAAAAGAATTTACCTATGAAACTCAGCTGAACCAGCAAGTATACAGTCTTCAAATTAAGCAAGATACTTTTTACGAAAACTACGGCTCTGTTTGGCAGAGCTTATTTTAAACTACTAATAAACTATAAGCTCTGTTTGGTAATGTTCCCAAAATAAGCTCCTAGCTTAAAATAAGAGCTTATTTTGGAATGCACCTTAGGGCTCTATTTGGCAAACCTAGCTAAAAAGCTATAAGCTAGGAGCGGAAAGCTGAAAAGGAGGTGAAAGCTGAAAAGCTATAAGCTCGGAGCTGAAAATTGAGAAGTTGTTAAGCTAGCTGTTATGATTGAAAGTGTTTGGTAAAATTAGCTTTTTGATAAGCTGATAAATGTAAAAAGACTAAAAATGACATCTTAATAAAATTTAAATTAGTTTGTTTACATATTAAAATTTAACATTTTGTATTTTTTAAAAAAACTAACATTTTGAAATAAAACTATTAGCATAATCATGATCTAACATCTTATAATGAAGTAGCAATATTGTTGCAAATCTCATAACAATAACAATAACAATAGCAATAACAACAACAACAACAACAATAATAATAATAATAATAATAATAATAATAATAATAATAATAATAATAATAAAACTTATTTTGGAAACATTATCGAGCTTATAGCTTATTAGTAGCTTAAAATAAGCTATAAGCTCCTAAATAAACTCTGCCAAATAGAGCCTAAGTAGCGTTTCAAAATAAGGTACTAGCTTCCAAACTTTTTTTCCATCTTTGTCCTTATTATTTTAAAAAAATGACATCATCTACCCTTCCCAATTAAAATCATTTTCTCTTCTCCTTTATCAACTTTCACTGCAATTATTATTATTATTATTGTTATTATTATTATTATTATTATTATTATGGATGGAGGAGATTTGCAACAATATTGCTACTTCATTATGGGATGCTAGATCATGATTATGCTAATAGTTTTATTACAAAATGTTATTTTTTTTTTAAGACAAAATGTTAAATTTTAATATGTAAACAAACTACTTTAAAGTTTTTGAAAATGTCCTTTTTAGGCTTTGTTTGGCAAACCTAGCTGAAAAGCTATAAGCTAGGAGTTGAAAGCTGAAAATGAGGAAAGCTATAAGCTCGGAGCTGAAAACTGAAGAGCTATTAATCTAGCTGTTTAGCTTTTTGATAAGCTGATAAATGTAAAAATACTAAATTCCCTCCAAGGTTTCAATTACTTGCCTCTTCCCACTGGGAAGTGAGAAATTGAATCATTAACCGGAGTAACTGCGCCTCTAATTCCATCGACATTTCATACATATTACTTGTTATCTCAAGTAACAATTGGAACTTAACATTACTGAACTACAGAAAGATGGTTACTTTATACAAGTAAAGCCAAAAAAAAAAAAAAAAGAGACAAGATTTACTAATTACCTTCAATGGACCTCTGGCTGTCGTTAAAATTGAAGAACCCTGGCTCTGCTACGCTGGTCGGAGACTCGCAGTGGTCGCTGGAGGGAGTGGAGGATGTGCGCCCTGTGATGGACGGACGGACAGAGAGCGTCGTCGCGTCGAGCACGGAGGTCGGAGAATGGCGAGAAGCAGAAGGCGTGGGGGCTGTGGGTCGCCGGCTCTGCCCAGACGGCGTTGACGACAGACAGAGATGACTGAGGAATCGACCACGAAAATGTTGTGCGTGAATTGTTGAGGGCTAAACATCTGAAGGCAGAAATAGGGAAAGAGAGTTTAGGGATTTAGAAATTAGGGGAAGAACAAGCCTGAAGCCCCTAGACCTCCATGGAACACCTATATATATATATATATATATATATATATATATATATATATATATATATATATATATATATATATATATATATATATATCTTTGAAATAAGGTATAAATTGACCACTAAACATAAACAAAAATATAATTAAGTTACTGAACAAAAAAAAAATGTAATTAAGTCACTAATGTCTCAAATATATACAATTTTATCTAATAGCAAGTTATTATCCATTTTATCAAGTTACCTACTTATATAGATGATGAGTTGTTATTTTTAATAACTTTTAATAATAAGTTTTAAAAATTAAAATTAAAAAATTAATACAATTAAAAAAAAACCGTTGGGTTGGCTGCTGGCCACCCCTTCCCCTACTCCTTCGTCTTCGATTGACAAAGAGAGAGACGACAAAGAGCATGTCTTCATCGCTGACTAGAGACGAAAGAGGAGTGGGGGAGGGGTGGTCGGCGGCCACTCCAACGTTTTTTTTTTTTTTTTTTTTTTTAAATTTAAAATTTATTATTAAAATGCCAACTCATCATCCACGCAAGCAAGTAACCTTATAAAATGGATGGTAACTTGCTATCATGTGAAATTGCATACATTTAGAGTGTTCAGTGACTTGATTGTATTTTTTTTTTTTTTCGTTCAGTAGCTTAATTGCAGGTTACATGCTCAATTTGAACCTTATTCCTATATCTTTTATTTAAGCCTCTTAAACAAGTGGTTACTTATTCTTTAAAAAAAAAAAGTGGTTACTTGTTCCATTTTATGACCCTCTTGATTCTATTTAAGCACCAACAATTACACGATCTTACATGATGTTTGGTTGGAGGGAATTTAAATTCCATTCCCACCTAATTTCAAAGGTCACTAAATTCCTTTATTTGGTTGGAATGAATTGCAATTTCCTCATTTTCATGAAATTAAAAAAATCTCATGCCTCCCTTGGGATTTTAATTCCATGGATTTTAGGAAGAAAAACCGATAATGATGAGACAAAATTACCCTCCCTTTTTTAACCTAAAATTGATGCCTGACAACAAAAATGGGCATTTTAGACTTTATACTACTTATTCCATTTCAATTCTCATGTATACCAAACATTGGAATTGAAATTCCCAATAATTTTATTCTTGTAAACCAAACACTGAAATTTAAATTCCACTTTATTCCCAGTAATTCATGGAATTGCAATTCATTTCCCACGTAATTCCCCCTCTCCAACCAAACGCCCTGTTAGTGTACAAGTACAAGTAGGCTATGGCTTTAAAAGCAAGAGTTCATCTCACAACACTTTAAATTTAATAAAATATGCACTTGTAAGCTAAGAAACTCTCATTACCAAGACCTTGTGGTCTAATGGCACCTGGATTGAACTCCTATATGGGAGGTTGTGAGTCCAAGCCTCAGAAGAAAAAAAAAAAAAAGCTCTTTTTATTTTATGCTATAAATTAAATTTCCTCAAGAAGATCCGCAGTACGAAAAACATCCCATTTATAAAAATCGTTCTTTTAAATTATTTCAGACTTCTTTAACGGTGTCGAGCCATAAAACACACTAAGCGAGATTAAAGGTATCACTAGATGCAAGAGTCAGGACAAAACCATATTATTTGCCATTTGCCATGCCACATAGTTAGGTGACGTCACCTCTGCAGCAACGACTATTTGTTACACTTCAATTTCATTCAACAATATTATTCTTTTTCTTTAATTTTATTTTCTCCATATACTAATTTATTATTTTCACTACATTGTCAATTGTCTTCTTTTTACATTATTTTGTAATTAAATATCAAAGTTATAATACAAAATATGCTATATATATTTATTTACCAAGTATTTTATACAAATATAATAAATATTAATATTTTGTCCAATACTTTCACATGATAACCTACGACACACATTTCACAACACATGAAACATGTATGGAAAAAACTACCACTACCAAATATCAATATGTGCTTGTAAGATAAAAAGTTAATAGTACAACTAAGATCTCATCATATACACGACAAGGCAAATTTAAAGCTTCCTATACCATAATCTCATTGCACGCTGAATCAATCTATGCTACCCCCACTCCACTAGTAATGCAATTGCACATGACACACTACCAATTAAAAAAAAAAAAAGAACATGTACTGAAGATGAAGACAATGACAATGCTACCCAAAAGAGAATTAAGAAGAATTAGAGAAATTTAAACCAAAAGTAGTATTTATTTAGACTATCGTTTTTAGATTAAGTATTTAGACTAGCGTTATTACAAAGTTGCAAACATTTATTTTAGTGACAATATAATCAATCTCTCATATATTATTTTGCATTTATATACTTTAAATTACCGATTTAAATAAACAAATTCAATATTTATTTACCTATATATGCATGAACATCCCCGATATAATATTGCATTGATATACTTTGAAATACTTATTTAAAAATAATCATTGGGCATTATTGCACAAAGCGCGTAAAAGAACTAGTAATTTAATGAGACTAAAATAGAGTACTAATTATGCCAACTTTGATTGGGATGTGGTTCGAACCTAAGACCTTTCTTATTGAAATCAATGAGTAAGTTAACGGTGAACTAACAAAAATTAACGGAAAAGATAATATTTAACGGAAAAGTTAACGGATAATCATATAATTAAGGATAAATTAGGAAATCTAAAGGAAAAATTAAAATCTGATCAATTTGAGTCATTTATTTGATTACAAAATTTGACCGTTATTTTTTCTACTCATTATAGGCATAACTCTTTTTGGCTTTTATTAGTATATATATATATATATATATATATATATATATATAGACTTTTATTAGTATAATAGATAGATAGTAGATTTAACAAATTTGTATAGATTAGGTCTAGTCGGAGTCATGCATATCCAAAAAATATGTCTTACTCAAAGTCTCAAACACATTCTGTATAAGAGTGCTATATCCGGCAGGACCGGCATGACATTTACATTATTTTCTTATTTGCATTTGGATAGAGTCTCATTTACTTTTTAACCAAATTAGTCTATGGCCACCATAATTCAATTTCGATTAAATATTGTGGGCCTGTTAAAATTTCAATAAATGACTTTTGAATGCTATTGGCTCTATTACAATGTAGTATCTCTGTCTATATACTTTCTCTACGTACTGGGATCCAATGTGGCCACAACCTTCCAAATGAAAGTCCCATTGAGGCTTGAACTCACAACCTTCCAAATGGAAGTCCAACCTGAGTATCATTAGACCATATAGTCTTGGTTCAATAAATGCCTTAATGTATGAAAAATACTATGCAAGTATAATATAAGAAAATAAAATTATGTATTTGATTATTTTCTATTACTAGTAATTGGCACGAATGATGCACGAACTATTATTAATTTAACAAATTTATCAATTAAATTTTTGACATCATCTGAATTAGTAAAGAAAGTAATGATTGTGGAAACAGAAAAATATACTTGAGTTCTTGAGCTCAGAATTAGTTTGGTTAAAAATGTAAGTATAACTATACAATGTAATATTTAATATTTTAAAAGTTTAATTATGCTATTATTATGTTAATTTTAAAGTTTATTGTTACATGTATTATTATTTTGAATTTGATTTTTTTTAAAGGAATTTGAATTTGAAATAACTACTTTAATTATATAACTAATGTATTTAAATAAAACTTGTAAATAAAATAACAGGCGATATTTGTCAAAAATCTCCACCAAAAACTTATTCATTTGAAAAAGATTATTTATGTAAGAACTATATTTATTTTATATCTAATTTCTCCTCTTTATATATGTGGAGTCAAATTAATTATAATTGAGGTTTAAATGAATATATACACAAATTATATTAAATATAAAACTTTACCAATAAATTTGAACACAATAAACTTTTTTCCATACTTCATTATGCTTTAATATATATAGAGATAGAGATAGAGATAGATCTATAATAATAAAATATACGGAGTAATTTATAAAATATAAATACACATAATAACTTCAAAAAAATATGTATAAATACATCTACCCACATAATTAATACATTCATACTTGCTAATCTTGTTTCTATCAAAATGCATTCACACTTTAAAGGGAAAACTTTGTGGTTAGATTCTGCTTTATTATATATATATATATATATATATATATATATATATATATATATATATATATATATATATATATATATATATATATAAAGATAAAGATATTAGTTATAATTTTTGGCATAATGCTAGACATTTTATATTGACAATTAATATTATAGCATATTTTATAAGAAAATTAATTAGCTCTGCTTAATCGATAAAAATATCTACTCGGATTTACTTATGCTATTCCCCATGTTGCTAGGCAATTAACATTCTTTTTGGGTATTTATTTAGAGTTAATTTTACATGAGGTTCCTTGTCTTTGATGATAATCTCAAATTTAGTCTCATGCTATCGTTTTTGTCATTTAACATCCAGATTATCGTTTTTGCCTAAAATTTTATAAAATGCTAAGTATTATTACTCTGGGCACATGCTCTATTTTATTAGAGGAAAAATGAAAAGAGAAAATGGAATACAAAATAGAGAAAGTGGGGTATAACTCATACCAATTATATTTAAAATTTTAAAAATTAAGAATTTAATATGAAATTTTGTGTATTATGAAAATTAGTTCTAATTATATTATCCAACTTAGAAAAAAAAATTGGCGAGACGGTCGGGTTTAACCTCGGACCAGTATCCGTACACGGCGGAGTTGAAGGCAGGGGGGAAACCGTGGTCCGCGGCAGATTGGCGAACCATGGCTCATTCCGTTGGAGGGGAGAGAGAGGGTGGTTGGGGGTGTGAAGGGGACTGTGATGGGGGCTGGTTTGGGTGGTGAGGGGGCGGGTTGGCAAAATGGTGAGCGGGAGGGTGAGGGGGTGGGGGTGACTGCAGTTTCGAAGAAAAGGAGGGGGTGGATGGTGATGTGATAATGTCTGAAGTGCCAAAAAACGAGTTTACGGCGGGTCATGTTGATCAGGCCCGCCCTTCATCATGAGTACGATAAGCTAGAACTGCCGTGGATTGGGCAATACACGGACAGTTCGAGAAATAGTGGACCTTGTGTCCCGAAAGAGGCCCGAGTTCGTCTACTTGATGGAAACGAAGGTAGGACGAACGCATGCGGAAAGGTTGCGAGTAAAGATTGGTTTTGAAGGCTTGTTCTATGTGGACAGTGTATGTGTAGCAGGTGGCTTGGCACTGCTATGGAGGAAAAATAATACTGCTAGGTTATTAAGCTACTCGAAGAATCATGTGGATATTGAGGTAGCAATAAGGAGGGAGGTATGACGTATGACGTGCTTTTATGGGTTCCCCCAGAGAAATAGACGAGGGGAGGCCTGACAACTGTTGAGTGGTTTGAAGGATAAGTCGGCGCTGCCATGAGTAGTAGTAGGGGATTTTAATGATCTCTTGCACCAGCAGGAGAAGAGAGGGGGGAATCCACACCCGGATCGTCTCTTGCGGGGATTTGGGGAGACTTTGGATAATTGTGGTCTGATCCAATTGCCGATGAGAGGGCATCAATTTACATGGGAGAAAGGGAAAGGAACGGATCGATGGATAGAGGAAGATTAGATAAGGTATTTGTAACAATGCCTTGGACCGACATGCATGGGGAGGCTTGGGTTGAGATTATCCAGACTCGCAGCTCGGATCACTCGGCTTTCTTTCTGAGTACTAATGCAATGGTACGCAGGCAAGTGGGACCGGGGGGATTTAGGTTTGAGATGGCCTGGATTCATGATGATGGTTGCAGGGAAGTGGTTAAATCTGCCTGGCAGATTGGAAGGGACAGGGGTTTGTTGAATTGTCAACAATATTGTGGTGGTAGGCTTATGCGGTGGGGTGGGGAACACTGGAGTAAATTTGGGGACCGCATAAAGGGGTTGAGATGCGAGCAGGATGCGCTGCGACACCGAAGGGACTCGGCTGCTCTGGCTGAGTTTCGACGGCTTGAAGCCATGTTACTCAGGTAGAGGTCCAGGAGGATGTGTTTTGGAGACAGCGGGCTACACAACACTGGCTCCGTGGTGCGGATGCGAACACGAAATTTTACCACAGGTATGCCTCTGCTCGTAAGCGTAAAAATTATCTTTATAGATTAAAGAATGATGCTGGTGATTGGGTGGAAGGGGATGATATGAAGAGAGTTATTTTGGATTATAATGATGCTATTTTTGCCTCTTCTGATTCTGTGTGTGTTTGATGAGTTTATTCCCCGTGTGACTAATGATCAAAATAATGCTTTATTATGTCCCTATGAGTCTGATGAGGTTAAGAGTGCATTATTTGCGATGTTCCCTGATAAGGCACAGGGGCCGGATGGTTTGAACCCGGGGTTCTATCAGCAGTTTTGGGATATAGTAGGAAGGGATGTATCTGCGTTTATCATAGACTGTTTGAATACTGGCATCTTCCCCGATGGGTTGAACGATACTAATGTAATTTTAATCCCCAAAAAGAATGTGCCTGAGACTGTAGCTGATATGAGACCAATTGCTTTAAGTAATGTGTTGTATAGAATTATGGCAAAGGTAATAGCTAACAGGATGAAACCACTGATGGGGGACATTATCTCTGATTCTCAGAGTGATTTTATCCCTGGTAGATTAATTACTGATAATATTCTTATAGATGCGGAAGTGGGACATTACTTGAATAGAAAGCAGTGTGGCCAGACAGGGTGGGGGCTTTAAAGTTAGACATGGCTAAAGCGTATGATAGAATGGAATGGCGATTCCTGTAGAGAATGTTGGAGGTTATGGGGTTTGATGAGAGATGGATTAATCTGATCATGCATTGTGTTACTACAATTCAGTATAATATTTTGGTTAATGGTGCTAACAGTGGCAGGTTGGTACCGTCCCGCGGTCTTAGACAGGGTGATCCGCTTTCCCCATATTTATTCATATTTGTGCAGAAGGATTGTCTATGTTATTGCAGAAAGCTCAGATAACTGGCTCTATACATGGGTGTAGGGTGGAGCAGGGTGCCCCCGATTTCACATTTGTTTTTTGCAGATGACAACCTGTTATTCTTTAAGGCAAATAATCAGGAGGCAACTGTTGTTAAGGAGTGCCTACAACGATATGAGGAGTTGTTGGGGCAAAAGGTTAACTATCATAAATCCAATATCTATTTCAGTAAGAACACCAGGGAGGAGGACATGGATGTAGTCGTTGCGTGTTTGCAGGTGGACCAGGCACCCAACTTTGGGAAATATTTGGGGCTGCCCTCTTTTATTGGTAGGAATAAGAGAATGGTGTTCTCTTATATAGAGGATAGAATAAAACAAAGAATTGGCTCGTGGAATAAGAAGTTACTATCGCAGGCAGGCAAGGAGATCCTATTAAAGAGTGTGGCGCAATCAATGCCAACTTTTTCAATGGGTGTTTTCTTACTACCTGACACGGTCTGTTTTTCAATTCAGAGGACTATGAACAGATATTGGTGGGGAAATGGGGGAGAAAGGGGAATTCACTGGAAAGCCTGGGATAAATTATGTATCCCTAAGAAGTTTGGTGGTTTGGGGTTTAAGGACCTCAGGAACTTTAATTTGGCAACGTTAGGGAAGCAGGCATGACGCTTTCTTACAAAACCCACCTCACTGGTTGCATCGATTTATAAAGCCCGATATTACCCTGCTACCTCGTTTATTGATGTTAAAGTGGGCAGTAGTCCAAGTTATGCTTGGAGAAGTATTATGGCTGCTCATGACATGGTTGTTGCAGGAGTACGTAGACGGATTGGGGATGGTCAAACAACATTGATTTTGGGATACCCGTGGTTGCCAGATGATCCTAGTCCTCTCATTCAAACTGAAATGCCTGAGGAACTAAGACATGCGAAAGTGACAGGCTTAATTGATGAGCAGACTAATATGTGGGATCCCTATATATTATCTGATTTATTTATTCCTGAGGATGTCAATCGTATACTCAGGATTCCTGTAAGCCCTGGTTATGGTGAATCGTGGTATTGGCTTGGGGACCCAAATGGAATTTATTCAGTGAAGAATGCCTACAGAAATATTATGGGCAATTATGAGCATATGCCAGGAGTGTTTGATAAGTGGATTAATATATGAAAAATGAAGGTGCCACCAAAGTGGAGGACTTTCCTGTGGAGAGCAATTTGTGATATCCTCCCTACCACTGCTAATTTAATTATTAAAAGGGTGGATATTGATCCTATATGCCAGAAGTGTGATTTAATGAGTGAGGATGTTATGCATGCACTTGTTACTTGTGATTATTCTAAACTTGTTTGGAATATTACAGGCCTACCTATCACAAATATTATTACCGATTCTTTCCCTGCCTGGCTAACAGCCGCGCTTGCAATTTTGACAGAGGAACGGAGTGGTACCTTGGTGGCGGTTCTTTATCACTTATGGCAGAGTCGCAACTCAGCCGTGTGGGATAAATCTTTACCTCATCCCGCCGGCCTGTGGAGGAGAGCATCCGCGGCAATGGGTTCATACCGCCACGCCAATCACCGTCTCGCGCTGCCGGCACCGCACGGACCGGAGCATGCCCATCACGCCAGGCCACGGTGCTTTGTAGACGCAAGCTTCTGTCACGCTACGGGGGAGGCGTCCTATGGAGTGGTCCTACTCTCGCCGGATGGATCGTTCATAGCGGCGCGAAACAGAATTCTACCAACTTGCTTCTCACCTTTTATGGCGGAGGCCATGGCTTGTAAGGAGGCTCTATCATGGCTGATCGAAAGGAATATGGTTGATGTGGATCTACTCACGGATTGTTTGCAACTACGGAGTGTTGTGCGCCAGGGGTCAACAACTGTTATGTCATATGCTGGACTCGCAGTCGACCATTGTAGGTCGCTGATGGCTTCATTTACTTATTGTTCGTTAAGTTATGTTTCTAGGCAGTTTAATTTACATGCACATGCTTTAGCTTCGTTAGCTTTTACTCAGGATCAAGTTATGACGTGGGATTTAATCCCAC